TGGGAACTCCAAAACGGGGTGGGAGCTCCAAAATAGGGCGTGGCTTCCTCCCATTGACAGACAGGCACATGACACGAATGCGCACTTTTGCCCGCAATCCACTTCAGTGCAAACTCCGCCCCACAGCTGATTCTAAAGATTTTATTGGTTGTCAATGAAAGTGTTGATTTCCTACACTATGCTACAAAAAATGCTAATCCCTAAACCTACCCCACACCTGACCCTAACCTTAACCAGTGAAATTGACTGCACGGCGGGATTGGCGCTGAATAGCGTGTTAAAGAAAGTTGCAGTTCAGGAGATAAACAGTTAATAAGATTATGCGATATGAGATCGTTCCGTAACTCCCAAACCGGACCTCACCGTACAATGGCACCTTTTTAGTTACACCGGCTAACGCTAATATAATGAGCATTAGAATGAAGTTTCTTTATTAACTATTTAATGCTCCTATAACTTTTATTAGGGTAAAAAAACAGGAGGACATGATGATATTTATTATTTTTACACACCAGAAGCTTTTAAATGAATTGTGAATATGAAATATGCGTGTTAGAGAATGTACAATTGGTTAACATTGTTTGTGTCATATCAGTCAGAAGTTCTGGGCTTTTTTTTAAACATTTTTTAGCTAACTTAGTTGTTATTCTTGACTGAATAGCTCTAGGGTTTCAAAAGCCCTTTAAAATTAAATATGTACACATTTTGGATTAAATGAAAGTAGTCAAATTTTTTAATTTGCATGTTTTTGTGTTTTGCTTTGGTACCGAAATTGGTACCGAGAACCGTGGATTTTCACTGGTATTGGTACCGAATACTGAAATTTTGGTACCGTGACAACACTAACGATTGACTATCTCTGGACTAGGATAACATTTCAATCAGAAGCACGTTTACACTTGTCTTCTAACATTTGTCAGCTTTCATTTTAAATAAGTCATCAAGGCAAAAATGACAATTATACTTATGGTAGAAGTATATAAAAAATCATAAAAAAAGTAGGGTTCATATAAACAGAACCTTTAGAATCTGAAATTAGACTGATGAAAATTTGTGTCTGATGAAAATTACCTCTTGATTTCTTGCAATGGCTACTTTACTTTTTCACAACTGTGACTTTATAGCTCATAATAGCAACGTTACTTCTTGTAACTGTGACTTTATATCCACTGATTTGACTATTTTTCGCAATTTGACTTGTTTTTTTTTTTTTTTGAATTTTTTTTAAGCTAACTTAGTTGTTATTCTTGGCTGAATAGCTCTAGGTTTTCAAAAGCCCTTTAAATTTAAATATGTACACAGTTTGGATTAAATGAAAGTAGCCAAATTTTTTAATTAGCATGTTTTTGTGTTTTGCTTTGGTACCGAAATTGGTACCGAGAACCGTGGATTTTCACTGGTATTGATACCGAATACTGAAATTTTGGTACCGTGACAACACTATTTTGCACTATAGTCAAACATTGACAAATATTGACAAAATAATACATCAGGTTTTACATTGAACAATAGGAAATGAATGTGCATATATTATTATATAAAATATAATTTCACTCAAGCTAACACAAGCAGACTTTAAGTAAACTGTTGTCATATTAACTTATCATCATAAGATGAACAATTTCCTGTACCAAAAATGTAAATCTGTCTTGTTTAGGGACATAATAGCCATCTTTAATTCAAGCTGATTCATATCATCTTAGATGCCATAATTAAACATAAATTCTTTTATCTAAACTATATTTTTTGGTGCAATGCATTTTTGCACCTCTAGTCATGTTTCATGATTTGATTCATCAGAGATTAAAGTGATGTGCATCCAGCAGACGTTGTTTACGAGAGGCCGAGACTCGAGACTCTATAGTGCTCAAGGGCTGCAAATGCCAAAAAGTTTATAAAAGATCAAGACCCTCAATGGAGCGTCTCCCAGATGTTCAGCTCCATTGAATGAAACTCCATTTCGTCAGGATGGGCTGTTGTACACGTTCATGTTTCAATGGAGCTGCTTGAGATGTTTTTCATTTCAGGTTTGCTTCCATTGATTGAAGGCGAGCTACACCGGTAGTCTTTTCAGAATTAATTAGTATAATTTGTGATCCACACCATTTTCTCAGGATGAGTTTTGGTACATGTTTATTATGGGCACACGCATGTACATGCAATTCTTCATTCTCAATTAATCAACCATATGAAGCATCTAATTTTGTGGCTCGGTGCCACATAGGCTTAATTGTTTCTGAGAGGTTGACTTTGGCACTGTATGTTGCTTTAGTCTCGCTATCAATGCATCTAAGTTCTTATGACACATTTTTTTCTTTTGCTTGGCAACGTATACGCATCAGTTATTGTTCTTATTGTTACAGGTTGTTATTAAAAGGACATGCCTGTACAAAAAGTCAGTGTTTCATCTGACCTAGATGCCAAGGTCCCTTCACATCTCCAGCGCACATCTATAACAAGCCTCACAATGACCTCTGACCCCTCACACAGATGTGTCTAGGTTTGATGCCACTCTTCCACTGGTTTCTGCATGCTTCCATAACAGACATCAGATATCCTCTGAACTTTATACTCTGAATTACAATAAAACTGTTAGTATTACTGATTTCCTGGTCCTACTGTTTTCTTCAAAAAATTGCATACTTTTCTTTAAAGCAAGACCAAATTGATACTTTTATTGTTTGTTTAGAACTTTTAATGTTGCTTCATGACTGATGACAATTGTTTATTATTATATTATATTATATTATACTATATTATATTATATTATTATAATTTATTATATAACTTATTTTTTGAATGATGGTGTTTTTTTCTGGTCTTTGACACAATGTCTAAATGATCATTATATTACAACTAATAAAAACATTATTATTATTATAGTTTTTTAAATATATTCTTTTTATTCTTCTTCATCTTAATAATAAAAATTAATGCCAAGTTGTTTTGAGATCTGGTGACATAATGGTGACAACACTTATTTGACATAATATTAAATTCTAATAAATA